TACCAGTTGGCTTAGGCTAAGAGGCTGTTTAATTGAGGTGTAGACATTCTGGCTTCAGTCAGCCTGAATGTCTACAACACAATTAAACAGCCCCTCAGCCTGAGCCCTGTGAGCTGGCACGGGTCACCCGTGGTGTTTAATTACAGTGTAGACATTCTAATTTTTTTGAACTATGCTGTGTTGCACAATTAAGCTGAACAATCTTCTGTACTGACATTATCTGTTGAAATGTAGGTATAGTTGCAAAATTGATTTGTAGTTTTTGGTTTTAAGGTCAGAAGGGACCTTAGTAATCATCTAGTCTGACACAGGCCAATAGACTGGAGAGAGCTGGATTTCTACCAATCTAGTTAACAAAGAGCAAAAGCAAAAGCAAAACTTGATTGAGTAGTCGGGACCCTGTTGCCTACTGTTCTAATATTCCTTTAAAAACCTCCAATTCTTATTGATAAACGGGCCCAATTTCTCATGTACACTAATGTCCCTTTAAACTGCTCTGGCCCCTAAGTTCTCACCTGAAGTGCTTTGCTGGATTGGGCTCTAATATTTTTATTTATGATTAAGGTGTAGTAGTCAAACAATGGGAAGAAAGAAAAACAAGGCCTCTTGCTATTCATGAGTGTTTGTGTATGTAAGTATACAAAAGATCAGGCTGTTATGGATTTGTCTTGATATACATATTCCCCCATAGTAGAGAATCCTCACTTTCATTTGCTTGAGCAAAGAAGGGAAGTTTGAATATTTCTACAGTCGGTTTAACCAAAAGTGTATATATAAGCTTCCAAGCATGGATCTTGTATGAATAAAGCAAAGGCTTTGACCCAAAAATGTTAGCTGTTGGGTACCGTAGCACTGCACTTAATATATTGTTTGAGGGGGTCAAAATTAACTATGGAGGAAGTGCTGAAGTAAATGAGGTTTGTTTTGGCTCAGTACTGTAGATTTTCTGTATCACATGCCTACCTTTGCTGGGACTCTTTAGACTAGAACAGTGCTGCCCAACCTTATTACACAGGAGGGCCACATAAACCTAAGCACAACCTCGTGTAGGCCAAACAGATTCTATACACATTAATAAGATTTAAAGTCACCTCTATTGATTTTATATTTTAAGTTCAGCTTGTTTTGTATGTATTTAGATGGGTTGTTTCTATGTACAGTATTGTCTGTTTACATCATTTTAATTTACACAAGTGTGTAAACACAATGACAAAATGCTAATGAATTGGCCATTAGTATATTGTATTGAAGTAGGCAGTGGGCCTTATGAAATGTCCAGGCGTGCCCACGGCCCACCAGAGCAAGAAACTATAATAATTGCAGAACAGGCCTGCTTTTTAGCATAGTTAAAGACCATATCTTCTTCTATACTAAGTTCCACACTGATGCCAAAAATAAATAGTGGGCAGCTACTTTCAGAAGACAAGAATCTTCTCTCTAGATTTTTTTCAATGGACGTAGCCCTAGATCTTTTATTAAAGGAAAGAACATTTTTAAAAGTGAAAATGAAAACCAGTTTGTCCTTTCCCATACATGTCACATGCATTTGGTCACTGTGGAGACCATATAACACTACAATATAATAAAACTAGAGGTGATTGAGAGGCCCAAATTACAATAGACAGTAGAAATATTCAGCAATATCACTAGAAAACAGGACTCAATTTTATAAACAGACCAGCTCACTTCAATGTAATAGTTTAAATGAAAAACAAAATATGTCTGTTGCTTGGATAGACTCTAGTCCTGCAGCAGACAGTGAGTGGGCAGATTACTGAATCTATGCAGGAGCCCCACTGAAGGCAGGTTCTGTGCAGGTGCAGAAGTCTCCCTGCTTGACATCAATTGCAGAGTCGGGGCCTTATATTAATCTCTTATTTCACTGTTACCTTATTATGGTGGATGTGGACACACAACTTCAAGAGACTAATGTAGCTTCTTTTAGGCATATTCTTGGGAGCAAAGATAGCAGTTTGCTGGGATATGAAAAGAAGACTAACAGTGAAAAAATGGACTAGGCCTAACTGTAAATAGGGCTTTGTTTCTCTCTTTCTGACATCCTGCCTAGTGCTGGCCAAATTATAGCCCTTTCTTTCGGGGGCGGGGGAGGGGGTGTGGGAGGAATGAGAGACCGACTCTCAACTAACTTGACAGTTTGAATGTACAATTATGGAGCATGAAGGTAAAAAACCCCTCTAACCTCATAATGCACAATGTGACAGGAAAGTGGTTTTCAACCAGGGTACTCATACCCTTAGGTACGCAGAGGTCTTCCAGGGCGTACATCAACTCATACTGGATCAGACCAAAGGTCCATCTAGCCTAGTATCCTGTCTTCCGACAGTGGCCAATTTCAGGTGCCCTAGAGCAGGGATGGGCAAACTTTTTGGGCCGAGGGCCACATCTGGGTGAGGAAATTGTATGCAGGGCTGGGGCAGGGGATTGGGGTGCGGGAGGGAGTGTGGGGTGTGGGAGGGGGTGCGGGGTGCAGGAACGGGCTCAGGGCAAGGGATTGGGGCAGAGGAGGGGTGTGGGGTGCATGAGGGGGCTCAGGGAAGGGGGTTGGGGTGCAGAGTGCAGGAAGGGGCTCAGGGCAGGGGGGCAGGAAGGGTGCAGAGTGCAACGGGGGGCTCAGGGCAGGGAGTTGGGGTGCAGGAGAGGTGCAGGGTGAGGCAGGAGGCTCAAGGAAGGGAGTTGGGGTGCAGGAAGGGTGCAGCAGGGGGTGGGGTGCAGGAGGGGTTTGGGCTCTGGCCTGGCGCTGCTTACCTAAAGTGGCTCCAGGGTGGCAGCGGTGCACACCTGAGCCAGGGCAGGCTCCCTGCATGCCTGCCATGGCCCCACGTCATGCTGCTCCGGGAAGCGGCCAGCACCATGTCCCTCCCTGCGGAAGGGGTAGGCACAGGTCTCCGTGCGTGGCCCTTGCCGCGCTTCCAGGTTCCCCGTTCCTGGCCAATGGGAATTGCGGGGGGCGGTGCCTGGAGGCAAGGGCAACGCACGGAGCCCTCTGCCTCCGCCCCCGGGGCTTGAGGGATGTGGTGCCGGCCGCTTCTGAGAGTGGCACGGGGCCTGCGGCACCACGGGGGGCAATCCCACAGGCTGGCTCCAAAGCCTTGATGGGCCGGATCCAGCCCATGGGCCATAGTTTACCCACCCCTGCCCTAGAGGGAATGAACGGAAGAGGTAATCATCAAGTGATCCATCCTCTGTCACCTATTCCCAGCTTCTGGCAAACAGAGGCTAGGGACATCATACCTGCCCATTCTGGCTAATAGCCATTGATGGACCTATCCTCCATGAACTATCGTTCTTTTCTTAACCTTGTTGTAGTCTTGGCCTTCACAACATCCTCTGGCAAGGAGTTCCACAGGTTGACTGCATTTTGTGAAAAAATACTTCCTTTTGTTTGTTTAAAACCTGCTGCCTATTCATTTCATTTGGTAACCCCTAGTTCTTGTGTTATGAGAAGGAGCAAATAACACTTCCCTATTTACTTTCTCCACACCAGTCATGATTTTATAGACCTCTATCATATCCCCCCTTAGTTATCTCTTTTCCAAATAAAAAGTCCCAGTCTTATTAATCTCTCCTCATATGCAAGCCGTTCCATACTCCTAATACTTTTTATTGAACCTTTTCCAATTCTAATATATCTTTTGTAGGCTAGGGCGTACCATGGATTTATATAGAGGCAATATGATATTTTCTGGTTTATTATCTATCCCTTTCTTAAAGATTCCCAACATGCTGTTCACTTTTTTGATTGCCACTGCACATTGAGTGAATGTTTTCAGAGAACTACCCACAATGACTGACTCCAAGGTCTCTTTCTTGAGTGGTAACAGCTAATTTAGACCCCATCATTTTATATGTATAGTTGGGACTGTTTTCCAATGTGCATTACTTTGAATTTATCAACATTGAATTTCTATATACTCTATATACTATACACTGAAATGTAAGTACAATATTTATATTCCAATTGATTTATTTTATAATCCTATGCTAAAAATTAGAATGTAAGTAATATTTCAGTAATAGTGTGCCGTGACACTTTTGTATTTTGATGTCTGATTTTGTAAGCAAGTGGTTTTTAAGGGAGGTGAAACTTGGGGGTACGTGAGACAAATCAGACTCCTGAAAGGGGTGCAGTAGCCTGGAAAGATTGAGAGCCTCTGGATAAGATGTTCCAAGTGCCAGAGCAGGACAAAAAGTGGGGGAAACTGAGACAATCGTTGCAGCAGTGCCCCAGGCAGCCAGGAGGGGGCGTATTGGGGCAGCAACTTTACCACACATTTATTATAAAATAGAAGAAATTGGTGATATTGATTTTAGCAGTGAATGTCTGATACTGTGTTTATAATTTCATACAATCCCGCACCAACCACCTTAAAATTTTTAGGTTGCAAAGCTAAACGCTCAAAAGTCAGGAAACTCCTGGATTCAGGTTGTCTCTGCATCGTCACATGCGGTTTCTTCCACACAGCCCCTGGCCTTATTCAGAGTATAGGCTTGATGATTAAGAGATATCGGGGTTGCAGTGTTGCCCAGTTTTGTGATATCTGAGAATGTATTTACATCCCCAGCTACTGGAGACGATTCACTCGGAGAGCATCTCAGCTTACTGGTGTGTTTAAATGAAAGTTCCTGGCCGTTATGGCTGTGGAGGAAAGCTCGAAAACAACAGCTGAGTGCAACCTCAAGGTTCAGCAACCTGCAGCCAAATAAAGGGAACCCAATATTTAAAAATAAAATAAAAACGATCTGTTTTAAGAGTCATATCTCAGGATTTCGAGGGGCCTGGGGCACGACTTTCTGACCGCTTGAGGTTGGCAACAGCGGGTTGCGGGTCACTAAGGACGGAGGCCGTTGCCTGCGGCGGGCCCTGAGGCGCAAAGACTAGCGGCAGCCCCGTACGGTGCATGCTAGGCACGCCCCCTCCGTCCCCGGGGCCAGCGCCGAGAGCGCGGGAAGGGCACAGTCCTTCCACCAGCCCCGGGGTGAGGGAGGATTCTCCGCTGGCCGCTTCCACCCGCGACGCAGCTCAGCCCGGGCCCACTTAGCTTAGGGGCGCCCAAAGGAGGGCTGGGGGTCAGGGCTACGTGCCGGCTCTCCGGAGGGGGGGCGCGCAGTGACCCTTCCACGCTTCCCCGTGTGCTGCTCAGTTGGGAAGCAGCGCCGGGGCAGGGAAGCCCTTCCAGCTCCTGCCTCCCGCTCTCCTTCCCCTTTTCTGCAGCCCTCTCCTTCTTCTCGCCCGCTGCTGCGGGCCCCACCGCGCCGATCGCCCCTTCCCGCTCTCGGCGGGGTCTGTCAGGCCCGGGTCGCCCCCCCCTCCCGCGCGCTTGCCGTGGGCAGCGGCGGCGGCGGCGGCAGCGGCAGGGTTAAGGCTGAGGAATGCGGCGGCGGCGGCGGCGAGGAATGTGCATGCAGATGAGATGGATGTTAATCTCATGCTAATGAGCGGCGGCGGCGACTGCTGCCCGGGGCTGAGCCGGGCTCCCCCGTTCCGAACCCAGACAGCGGCGGGGCTCAGCCCGGGACCCTGCCCTGGTGCTGCTGGAGCAGGCGGCGGCAGCCTAGACATGGTGGATTGAACCGGAGGAGGGTTTCCTGAGCGATTGCACGAGACTCTCTACTCCCCCCCGCCCCAGGCCCGGCTCCGGACCCCCCCGCAGTCCCCCGGCTCTACTGGGGGCTTTTCCCGCTTCCCTTCTTTCTTCCTGGCCCTATGGAGCAGCTACCCCCGGCGCCCGACCATGCCTAGGAAAGAGGGGAATGGGCAGCTCCCCTTACCCGATGGCTGGGAGGAGGCGAGGGATTACGACGGTAAAGTCTTCTACATTGACCACAACACCAAGCAGACCAGCTGGATCGACCCCCGGGACAGGTGGGCGCGGACGGAGGGAGGGGAGGACCGCGGGGGATGGGGGCAAGGGCAGGCGTGGGGGAGACCCGGCAGCCGCAGTGTGAACCCGGCTGAGAAGCGGCAGCCGGAGCCCCTCCTGGGGGGAGGCAGGAGGGTCCCTTCCCGTTATATAATGGGAGAGACAAAGAGGGGGGCAGCCCCGTGGCAGGGGATGAGGGTGGGGATGTGCTGGGACTGGGGGGAGTCTTGCTCTCGCTCAGATGGGAAGCGGACTGAAGAGGAGTGGGGAAGGGAGAGCGCCTTGGAAACTGAGGCAACCCCCCCACAAACAAACGCTGGAAAGGGGGTGGGGTGGAGGGCGTGTGCCTGTTTATCAAGGGAATCAGCCTGATCCTGTTGGCAGTTCAGTATTTATTGTCTCTATTTTGTGATTTTTTTTTTGTGACCCCCACCCTTAATCTTATTAAAAACTAGCTTTCATGCTCTTTATGGTTAATCTATGCAGCCTTTGTGTGTTTATATAGTTGTAGTCTTATGAAATCTTTCCTTAATGTAGTCTGATATTGGGGACCCATAGATCCCAGGAAAGAAGGAGATTTAAAGATAGAAAGTAGTTAGGATTTACTTGCCTGTCCTGTACCAACTTCTATAACAGTCTTTCCAGAGACAACCCAGAGAAGCAAATGCTAGGCGTCCCGCTGGCTCCTGAGTATGGTGTACTTGGGTCTGAATCCCTCAGTTTGTGAAAGTGCAGGGCTGTGGCATTTAACTCTCCTTTACTGTGAAACCTTATATCAGGAAACTGCCTGTCTCTTTGCCCCAAGCTCCATGAACATGCCTGATATTCATAGCCCAAAATATAGTTTTTATTTCTTCTTGTGAAGAAGCTAAGGCTGCAAGAGCTCTACAGGCCTCGTCTATTAAGTAGGCCTCAGCCAGGCTAAATCCTTTCAGTCCCCCACCTAGAGACTGGGATGTTCCCTGCATTTTTCAGTCCTATGTATTTAAACAAGAGCCACAAAAGACAAAACTTGGGGGTGGGGGAAGTAAAACCAACTCAGACCCTTCTAAGGCACCAACTACTTTATGTAAATCTTTCAGTTTTGAAGAGGCTTTTACTTTATAAAACACTTTTTAAACCTGAGATCTGTTTTAATTTGTGGCCTAAAAAGTTCAGAAATATAGATTATTCTTTACTTTGTGCATAGTGCAAGCTATAGTATTCTTGTTAAGCCTATTGTAATCCAGTGATCAAAAACTTATAAATGACATTATAAATTTATGGCACAAACCATGATGAATTATCCATGAAGGTCTCGGTTTATATTTCTCTGCAGAAGTTAGAAAAGGCAGTTGTGATGAAGCTAGCTAGTGTCAGAGCCTTGCTGCTTGTTAGATGCATAGTGAAAGTTTTGACAAGCATCATACACAGTCAGACCTACTTTCCTGATATACATGATATTGGAATTAAGTGTTCTAACACTGGTAGCCCTGTTGTTTGACTTCTTTGCACTTTGAAACATCTTAAATATATTGTAAATGTCAGTAACATGGTGGTGTTCACAGGACAGTGATATTTGTTGGAGCTGTTTAAATATTTAGCTTCTGCAGATATTTTGGTAAATATTTTTGACTTCTGATAGTTAAAATGGAGAGTTTTTCAATGTTCCTTGAAATTAGTGTTTTCAGTTCAGTTTTGTTCTAGATTTGTGTTTACAAAACAGATGACAAGAAAATAGCGTAAAGTAAATAGAAAGTAAAATTATGATTGCGCTTATCTATCTTGCCTTCTGAACAAATTAACACTTTCAAACAAAAGAAACATTTGACGCTTATTGTGGATTCTATTGTCCTTAAAATGTTCAGCCATATTTATCCTGTATGTGTGTGATTGGTCTCCTAGTACATTTGAGTCTTTACTCCAATTACTACAGAGGTTTTTTTTTTTTTTAAAATATGAACTAGGAGAATTACACTTTGTATTTCTCTCATCATGCAGGTATTAGTATAAATTAATTTCTTGATTTTTTTTTTTTTTGAGGCGAGAGAGGATTTAAAACACAATCAAGCTCTGGGCTAGATGTATTTTCTTTAATGAGGACTAATGGAGTGAAGTCCTTGTTAAACAGTGTAGGAGACAGTGTTTGGAGTAACTCCATTAACTCTTGTCAATCTTGTTTCTTACTGTTACAAAACAAACAGAAAGAGGTATGTTGCACGAGGCACTTGAGATGATCCATAAAATAGTGGCTATGGCTCAGCTGAAACTGAATTACCTGCACGGAAAAGAGGCTGATTGTCCATGTACGATAAAATTTTAGTATCTACACATACAATCAATATTTAGATTGCTGACTAGATTTGGAATAGTAGAAATAACTTTTTTGAAATGCCTGTGATTAGTTAACTGTGGGCTACATTATGTTGAAAATATAAGTATATTAGAAAAATGCACGTTGATATCCCATACAGGACAGAATAGATAGCTGTCAGAAGAACTAGAAAGTGAGCCTTCAGGTTTTTGTCAGTACAGCAATGTCTGGGTTCTGAATGATCTTGGAATGTATCTAAAACTGTCAAGATGAAGTGTTGAGGTACTGTGGTGATGGTGTACTGGAGAGTCTGAGACTGACTTGACAACATACTTGTATCTATTCAGCTAGTTATTTTCAACTTTTATTTTATTCAGTTCCCTGATGTAAATCATAACAGTTGCATAATGTACTTTTGGAATACACTAATACAGGGATTCTCAAATTATTTCATAACTTTGACTAAATCTTAAGATACTGTCTTGTGGGCAGCTTCCTTCCCATTTGCAATTCTATAACAGCCCCATGGAAACCACAGCAATTGCTTAAAGGTAAAAGCAATATTTGGAAAAAATTTAATAGATTTTTAGCTTCTTTGAACTTGATTCAGCAGATGAGAATAGTGGGGGATCCAGCATCTTGTGACTAGGCGGCTCTCTGGACCATCAGCTAATGCTCCCTGGATCACAGTTTGGGAAACTCTTTATTAACAGAGAAAAGACTAGATGTATGAAGCTTCTTTTTGTGTGGAAACTGACCTGGCAATTGAAAATGTTGATGATCCTTCAAAGCTTTGGTGAAACTTGCTTGCATAGGAATATATGAAACTTATAGTACCAAATTTGTGCTAAGCACATTAGACACTCCTAGGACAAGATCCCTGCCCCCCCAGAAGTTTCCAATTTAAAGCCATGTTGCTGAGTATATGGATCAGGCCTGCTGATATAGTGATTGTACTCTACACTACAAAGAAGAAGACCTGGAGTCAATTCATGGACTGGGGCTCAGTTTTGCTCACCTTGCCTGCGTGAGTAATCCTGTTGATTTTAATGGTGCTCATATTTGTCGGTGAGAATGATTTGGCCCCTGTTTTTTGTACTCTCTAAGTCCATGCATGCTGGAAGTGCTGTAGAGGTACTGTAATACACTCAGCTGCTAAGGGGTTTGGAGTGCTTTGCATTGCTTGGCAGCGACCCCCTCCAAACGCTTCAGGAGCTGTGTTGACTGGGCTAAAGGAGACTGGTGGCTTAAAAAGCAGGGCCTCTAAGGTATGGACTGTACAGAGAAGAGAAACTGAGTTGAATTCAAACAGGAATGCAAAGAGGCTGGAGATATTTTTAGTGTTTAAATCTACAGACTTGACTCCCTTGCCTATACTTTTGCTGTTTTGCTAAGCTACAGCAGACTGAAAACTGACAAGTTTTGTCAGTTCCACTGCTGCTATTTAGAACCAATTAGGCAAGGGTGAAATAAACACAAACCATGTCAGTTTCACTCTGCCTCAGCTTGGAAAGATATGAAAAGCTGCAGAGACCAGCTGTTGACTGGAGAGGAAGACCAAAGTAAGAGGTGGGAGAGGGATAGAAGAACGCACATTTCCCTCCTTGTCCCTTTGTATTAGTTAAGAGACTGAGGCAAGGGCAGAGTAGAATAGCCTAGAGTAGAAGAGAAGGAAACGGTGAAAATATGCTTCTCTTCTGCAGCAGCCAACAGATGTTGGAAGGGCTTCACATTTATTAGACACCTCATTGGAGGCTAGCATGAATGGTGGTGCTGCAATCAGGGGTTAGAAACAGAAGCTAGATAGGAATCTCAGCTCCCTCCAGTTTCCGGAAATTGGATGGTGCTGGATTTCTCGCCAGGGCAGTGGGTCTCCTTGCGTTTTGTGTTGGCTTCTGGGCAGCTAAGTGTCAGATAAATTTTGTATACCCTTGTAATGACTGCCAGTCACCTATAATAGATATCCTTCTAGTCATTTGCATAAAATGAATTCCATATCATAAAATCTGCTGTCACAGTTGGCCCTGATAGACACACTTATCAACAACCTCAGCAGAGTTTCAGGGAATGAATTAGCATGGGACTGAACTCCCCCTTCCTTCTTTTCTTTGCCTCTTGTAGAGCTGGTAAAATGTATCTCTAGAGAATTTACAGATTACTTTATCAAAGCAGTGATAGATTTATCGGGTTGTGGTGTTTGCCTTTAGAGACTGCCCTAGAAATACCCTGTCTGAATAACCAAAACAAGGGTTTGAAAAATTTACCAGACAGCTAGTAGCTAGAGGACTAAACCTGCTAGTTAGAGGTAGGTGTGAAATATAGTTATCTTGTGAATCTCTGAAGTGGAGAAGAAGTCCAGTTTGCCTTGCTACTTCCAGCTTCTAGGATGGAGAAGGTACTGGGATTTTTACTGGGGATCCCCACATCCTCCAATGGTGTCGTTCTGGCTAGGAGACACTGTGGACATTAAAAGCTCTATTCCCTCTCCTTATGGAAGGGACAAGGAGCTTTATTATTTCTTGTATTACCTAGAGGCCCTTATTGTAGACCAAGACCCCATTGTGTCAGGTGCGCTACAAACATAGAACAAAAAGACGATCCCTGCCCCAATCTTTTTGTCTCTTCTCCATCCCTCTGGAGATTCCTGGTTGCTATCCTATGAATAGCAGGGGGCATAGAAGGGACAGGAGATGGGGAGACTTGAAGCTG